GAACAGCTTCAATAATTGCTTCTGGACGTATACCAGAACTTCCTTAAGTGATCACATCTGAAAACCGCCCAATATACCATGCTTTGATCAAACATGACGAAAAATCCACCAACGTGGACAAGAAGAAACCAAAACGATATGGCAGGTAGCGAGTTTCCAAACTTTTGACGCGCTGTTCTTCGAATTTTTCTTATTTTAGGAATCAGACTTTTGATTTTCGTAAAACAACATTGCATGCCATATTTCCCACGTGATTTTATATCTAATATGTAACTTTGGGATAACTACGATCTCAACTGGCCGCGCCATTCAAGAAATTGATAAGTTTCCAAACTTTTGACCACTACTGTATGATAGAGGTTAGTGATGATCGAGTGCACACATAGTTGCTTAGGGCAGACGAGATGACGGAATGGACGAATTTCAATTCAATACTAAGGCTAAGTCGCTGACTAGACTATTTGCTGCGATTATGACAAATCTTGCACAGACCGTCACATTGCTCAGACTCACTTCTGTGAGCAAGTTCTTCTCCCCAAGAAATCAATGACAAGGCTAGGTTTGTGACTGAATGTGATGTGCGCCTTCAAGATTACATCTAATTTGATATTTACACATCTAAAGCGCTATGAGTTACCTCTTGCAAATTGGTAAACGTCTCACAGCAACATAGCGACCCCCTGATCGATGGCTTACCAGCGAGCACCCGTAATCCCGCTTCGAGAACAAGCTGAGTAGAAAACAGCAAAGTACTTAGGCAAAGTTAGAAACTATTAGCGAACCGGTTCAGAAGCAAAAATTATAATACACGGCCAACATAAGGAACACCTGCGTTTGCGGTTATTTTATAGACATAAGTCACCGGATTCACAACAAAAACTGTAAATTAACAGCAGATGCAATAAACGGAAAACCAATGGTGACCAGTATCCAATACTTGATACAACCAACGCACCTCAGCGTACGGTTTGTTATCATCCACGTAGTTCGCATGATGCCCTTCTTTAACCAATGCTGCCACGGTACTTCGAGATCCTGGCTTACCCCAGTCGTAAGTTTGCACAGAACATATTAGTTTATGCATTACTCGAAAACTAAAAAAAGGAATGAAACTTGAAAACTAATCCATGGTTTGGATATGTCGTGGTGGATACCATAAACGAAAAGATGGCATAAGAATGAGCACAAGCACATTTATAATCTGAGCAAATAAATATAGTTACTATACCGTAATTGCTGAGGTGATTCTTTTCTATTATTACTCTCAAGAAGTAGTACATTTGAAAAACATCGTCAGTGTATGAAAAATAGAAGAAAAAACAAAAACCACACAATTAAAGCCTATAACACTCAAGTCATCATTAAGTATCGAGATCAAACATGACTAGAGGAATTGCACGTGCAGAATCAACTTGCTCGCGATGAACCAAGGAAAATTAAAAGAAGCAATCACAATCGGTACTGATTAAAGTAGCTACACAATAACTATTTTAAACCACCTAACTAAAAAGCTAAAAGAATCTACTTCACTAGTGCTACTACGTCTCACAGAGTATTCTCAGCAGATTCGTTCATGTCATTCTCCAACTCATTCTCGCCATCAGCCGTGAATTTGCCGCAATTTTCATCTTTTGTCAGAAG